CACGTCCACACCCACACCCACACACACACACACACACACACACACCCGCTTACCTACACGCAGAGAGGCAACAGAGGCGGAGAGGGGAATGCGTGTGTGTGGAAGGGTGAGAGACGAAAGAGAGAAGGGGGAGGGAAGACCGGGCGCCGGGAACGGCCACCACCACCGCCACTACCACCACCGCCACTACCACTACCACCACTACCACCACTACTACTGCCACCATGTCCCACTCATCTTACGCCGGAGAGGATCGTGACATGGTAACCTACATAGCTGGGGACCTACGTATGTATCTCCATCTGCGACGACATGCCAAAAAATACCTCTCCTCTGCACGCCTCAGGTGCTCGCCTGTTGAGGTTTTCCCAGGAACGCCCCTATGCCCCTAAGGCCTAAGATACGGGCGCCTCTCTGACGGGGACGTGGTAAGGTTGAGCCGACCGGCCGACCTGCCGAGCGGGTCGGGTCCCGACCGCCCCGGGGCCACGTCTGACACCCGAAACGTGGGGCGTGTGTTTAGTATATAATAGGTACATCCTATACCTACATCAGGTGCCTTGCCGGTATGGAGAGATGACCAGACAGCCAGAGAGAGGGATATAGCTACATATCATGCCCTACCTTACCTACCTACCTGCCCAGATATACATAGACACGGACACGCATACCGATGCAGATAGATAGATGCGGATATAGCTAGAGTGGATTTGGCAATAAGCGCGACGGCCCTCTAGGCGGATTTCAGAAATTGGACAGCGCGGCTTACTGACGACCTCTTCTCGCGCGCACTCGCGCACACCCGCGCACGCCTCTCTCTGCCTGCACGCTCCGCGCGCGCATACAGCAGGTAGGTAGGAAGGGGGCATCTATCTGCCCACCCCGGGCGCGCGCAACGCCAGCACGAAGATCCTGCACACACAAGCCTGCCCCTAGCCACCTGTCATCCGTCGGTACGCACGCCGACCTGCCTACCTACCTACCTACCTACCTCACCTGCACGAAATGCTCCGAGAAAAGTGCCTCAACGGCGGCGTGCGCACGTCATGCGCCAGCCAGCCGGCCAGCCAGTCAGCCTGTGCGCCCGCCGACCAGGCTTGCATAGGTAAAGCTGCGTTGCCAGCGTACCCGCGTGTCGATGCATTGCCACTTACTATCGCCTAGGTGTATACGTAGGTAGGTAGGTAGGTAGGTATACTCCCCAGCCTGCCTGAGGCAATGTGTGCGCCAAGGCCAGAAACCCCTCCAGCCGGCGGGGAGATTGAGGCGGCGGGCGCCGGCGCGCATCTACTGACTCGTGTGCGGGTCCAGGGGTTGTTAACTAGGGGGGGGGTAATCTGGCAATGGGCCTCGCGCAGGGGTGTTGCGTTGTTTTTACGTTGCGCGTATGTTATATCTCTAAATAACTACCCGTATATTGTCTGTATAGTAATACCTGACCTAATATAGGTTAATACCAGGTAGGTATATCATCGTGAGTATAATTATAGTCGAAAATGCCAGATTAGAGTACCCCTTACCCCTTACCCCTTGCCCCCTGCCCCCTGGCCCCCTTTCCCGTCGAGCGGCGAGCGAGCGAATGCGTGGTGTCCCCGGGAGTCATCATGATCATGATCAGGATCCGCGAACCCATTTTCATGTTCCCCCCCTCTCTCTCTGTCCGGATGTGGATACCGAGAGGGGAATCCTGTGAGGCAGAAAAGAGAGAGAGCGAGAGAGAGAGAGAGAGAAAGCGAGAGATCCTGCCTGCCGCGCTATAGCCAGGCCGGCCTATATTAATTACTGTCTGACTCCTGCGACGGATTTATAGGGGTGGAGGAGAGGGGCAGAACTGAGGGGCAACGCCGACGACACACAGCACGCGAGAGACAGACAGAGAGAGACGTATATAGACCCCCGCCGCTAAACTTAGCCCCGGAACCCTGGCCGCCCGACGACATCTGGACGGCTATAGCCAATATATACCGCATCGTGAGTTTTTCGCGCGTTACGTAGAAAGGAAAAGGAGGAGGGAAATATACCTAGAACGCATGCGGAGACGTCTCCCAAGACGCGAAGACGCCCCGCGGCGCGCGCTGGGGCAGACATACTTGGGTATATCTATCTATCTAACATCGAAGTATCTATATTTACCTACCTATACCATACGCCTACCGATCTATATCTAGACACAGGTATAAAGGGGAAGCGGGAAATAAGAAACGGGCCTCGCCGCGGGGCGCCAGGGCACAGGTGCGGAAGAATAAGCTACTTACCTACCTACCTACCTCCCTCCTAATCAAGACAGAGTGGGGCAGAATTGGGAGGAGGAGGCGGAGGAGGCGGAGGCGGAGACGAGCTGGATCGAGCGATGGCCCGAAAAGGGGAGAGACGGGGGGGGCAGCGCGGATATCTAATCGCAACCCGGTTCGTCGCCGCGCCGCGCCGCGCCGGCTATCCTTGCCAGGTACCTACCATACGGCACGCCGCGCGCCCCCCTATTCCCTCCCCTTATAACCCCCCATCTCGCACCCCACTGCCGCCACAACCGCCGCCGCTCCGTGGCGTGCGAGCGAGAGAGGGGCGGGCAGACGGGGATGTTCCTAGAAGAGAAGTCTATGCACGTACTTACCTACCTACCTACTTACTTGCGTGGGGGGTACTAGCAGCCAGCCAGCTAGCCAGCCAGCCAGCTAGCCAGCCAGCCAGCCAGCCAGACAGACAGACAGACATTACCTATCGCAAACCCACGCCTCCCGCCCATCTCATCTCCCAGCCCAGACCGACAACCCGGGGGCCCCAAGCCCCGTGGCGCGACGCGGCGCGCCCAGTTACCTAACTCACAACCCGCCTTCTTCTCCCCCCCCCCCTCCCCCCCCCTTCCGTTCCTACTGCTACCGCGGGGCCGCGCGCGCCGCTTCCCTCTGCCTCCTCCTCCTCCTCCTCCTCCTGTTACTCCCCGGCCGCTGCAAGACGCGCGCGCGCGCGCACAAGGTGATGACCGCGGCGGTGGCGGCCCCCCTGGTTCCGGTTCCTGGCCCCCCCTTGCCCTGGGCCGGGTGGCGCGCTGGATTACCTACCTATCTACCTACCTGCGCGGTCCCGGGAGGTCGTTTGGGCGTTTTTCTCTTCTTTTCTTTTCTTTCTTTCTTTTTTGGGGGTGTGCTCGTTTCTCAGGTGTGAAGGTCGCGGCTCGCAACTGGCCAACTAAATAACTAGGTAATACCTACCTACTGCGCCCCCGTCCCGTCCCCGTTCGGCTGGCCGCCGGACGCCCGGGCGCGCTTCGCCGGACGGGCCGGACCGGTCCGGGTTAGGACTCGCGCGGTCTACGTGTGCGATGCGGAGGTGCGGTGCGGCGGCGCGCGAGATGCCTGCCCTGTAGGGAGGCGCGCTTAAGGCAGGTATGGTGAGGCGAGGCGGCGGATGCGCTGCACGCGTCGTATGCGGGTGCGCGCGCGCGCGGAGATCCCGCGAAGGGGAGCGAGCGGTGCTGAGATCCGAGGGTGGCAGGAGAGAAAGAAGAGGGGAGGGAGGAGGGAGGAGTTGAGGGCCGGAACTGGGTGGGATGTAGGAGCAATAAACAGCGTATGTGCGCATAGGTGAATGTATGGGATGTGTTGGCAATGCTGGATATTACTAGTTTAGATGGGTATACCTATATATGCCTATACATATAGGTAGGTGGTACAGACTGGCGGCCTCACTTAGTTGCGCATCGTTGAGGAGGATGAGAGGTAGGTAGATAGGTAGGTAGGGAAAGCATGTAGGTATTCTCATCTGCTGGCATTGGCTTTTTCTGCCTGGGATATCGTGGTCGGGATGCATCGATACCAACGGTAGCGTAGTAGGTCAATAGGCATAAGTAGAGGAGGTTGTGAAGAGGAGGCAGGGAGGCCACCTGGCGATGGGTGCCTCGGTATGTCGAGGGGGACGGAAACGCGATCGTGTAAGTGAGTAGGGAACTAGCATGTTGCCTTGGCGCACAGTTGCAATAGCACCTAAGGAACGGGTTATATGCCTAGGTACCCAATCTGGGGATCGTATGCCTACGTTTAGGCTTTATGTAGTTGAGGTGACAGGCAACGGCAGGCTTCAGGCAGCTGATTGCGGGAGGCAACTCGTGGCTCAGCCAAACCTGTTGACGAGTTTTAACCCCATAATCCCAACTCGGCTTTGCAACTGATGAATTTGAACGACAGCACAGCGTTATGCATGTAAGCAGGGCATAAAGTGCTAGGTTTATACCTATATCCAGATGTGCATGCTTGTAAACGTAAAGATGTCTGTGTACGGCGGGCCCGCTTTCTAGTAATGACGTAACACCTTTGCTATTTAAGGCGCGCAATTGTAAGGAGGCAGAGCTGTTAAACCATTGTTGGGTTGAGTTAACCTAAGAGCCCGTAAAACGTCGTTTTACCTACGTATTTACAGGCGGCTGTTATGGCAGCCCTTTTGGTTGATTAGCTACCTAATAGGTCCACATCTGCCTGGTTATGCTTGTAACCACCACGTGGATGCAGGGTACTAAGCGGGGTTGACGTTGACAACCCTGTGGCACCTGAGCAATCAGGCATCAAGAAAGGAGCCCTGTGATTGGTGGAATTGAAGAAAAACACGCAACAGCCAACTGCTCGTAAAACGCTGTATTTAAGCCCTTTTAGCAGTTGAGTTTTTACACCTTCAATTGATCAACTAGGTTTACCTTTCAACTCGTCTTGCGTGCCTTACAATTAAGGCAGCGAGGCCACGAGAGGAACCGCCACCAAAACGCACAATCCCGCGACGCGTCCATCGAGCTTCACACCGCGAATTGGCCACCGCCGACACCACCACCACTGCGTATTCCTTTTTATTCCCCCTTCCTCTACTTGTCTTCCTCCCTCTCTCATCCTCCACCCTTTCGAGACAGGATATCCCCATACTGCCCAGCCTTCTGCGACTTAATCACGACAGCCATTGCCACGCTCTCTGTCGCCACTTAGCGTATTCCCAGCCCCAAATTCGCCCTCTCTGCAAAGATGACGACCGCCGCGCGCCGGCGAGGCAACGAGAGACAGGCCGCCCTCCTCGAGAAAGGCGGGAAACTCTATGGCGAAAAGGAGTACGACCGTGCCGAAGCTGCCTTTTCCGAGGTTTGTTGCCTGTTCACCACCCGCCAAGTCCAGCTCACCCGACACACACTGACGTCGTCGCCGCAGGCCATGGGCATGTGCAAATGCGGCATCGCTCTCGGCGAGCCCTGCACCTGTAGGGACATCATGCGGGGAATCGACCAGAGCCGGTTGAAGGACGTCCTGGCCGAGCGGTGCAGCTGCGCCGCGGCATCCAACAGCCGCTGTGGCGAATCGCTCCACCTATCCGCCTTCGATTCCCTCATCGCCGTCTACGAGAAGAGGGGCCAGATTGACGAGGCGCTCGAACGTGCGAAGCAGATGATCAACCTCTGCCCCAGAGAGCCTAAAGTTCGTGCGCCCCCTCCCGTACCGGACGACGGGAGAGCTCTCTTGCTTTGCTAACCTCGGGCCTACTTTAAGAGCTTCCTACGTCTAGCGAAGCTCCTCCGCCTAAAGGGCCTGAACCTGCAAGCACTCCTTACCTACAAGCAAGGTATCGACCTCGTCGAGAGAAAGTACCCGGACCATGCTCTTTTGGATGTTCGTCCATCTGCTAAGTTATTCTAAACCACCCACCTCCACAGACTACTACTCCGCATTGTCGCTGACTACCAGACGCAGACCCTGCGCCAACTGAGGGACAAGATGCAGCAGCTCGTCGCCAGGTTCGACCCCATCGTCACTCTCCCTCCCGAGCTCTGGCACATGGTGTTTCAGTATCTAGACTTACGGACAAAGTGGTGGGTGGCCTTAACCCCCCCTTCAAAAATGGCTTGAATTACGGCTCACTCGCCGAATCGACAGTCGCTGCTTGCGGGTGTCCAAGACGTGGAAACTATCTCTGACCGCGCCCGGCGCCCGCAACCTGTGGAAGGTCCAAGGGTACGCGTTCTCTCGACCCGGGTCCGGCCCCGCCATGCAGAAGTCCGTCCGAGCGAACGTCAGCTACGCGGCCCACCAAATCACCGAGCTCTCCGTCGACGACTGCTTCGAGTTCTTCACCAAGATGGGCCGCACCCCGGTCCTATTCCTCACCCCCCACCTGCGAGTCCTGAAGCTCCGCGGCAGAAGCTACCGGGGCCATCCCGTCCCCCCGCCCTTCGAGCTCAAGCCGTCGATGCTGGACATGAACAGGGTCAAGGCGCTTCGGCTCACGCACCTCTACATCGGCGAGACCGTGCAGGCGAGCTGGGTCCTCCTGTGGAAGCTGATCGAGTCGTCGCACACCACTCTGGAGGAGCTCTCGGTCCTGTCCTTCCAGCACATCGAGGGCTCGCGCGTCAACTTTGTCCAGCCGAGCCCGCCGGCGTTCCGGGACTGGCCCAAGCTCGAGCGGCTGAAGACCATCCGGCTGGTGACTCACCCCGCGTGGGGGCATTGGTGCGTCGACGTGGTAAGTGCGCTCGGCCAGGGGCAGCCAGCGTCGCGGTTCTAACTCAGCGCGCGCTAGGGCGATATCGTGGACGTGGCCCCGAACGCGGAGGAGGTCTGGCTCGACATGGTCTACTGCGGCGACCCGACGGGGCCGTCGTGGAAGAAGGCGCGCAGCATCCACATCGGGGGCGGCGTGCACGCGGACGTGGCGCCGCGGATCCTGTCCGGCCTCACCGAGAACATCCGCGAGCTCTACCTGGACTCGATCCCCGCCCATATCCGTAAGTACCTCTTCTCCTATCCGGATGGGTCCGTCTCAACCTGCAGGATTCGCTGACCACGGGGCCCTGGGGCGCAGCGAGCGCACTGCCTCTCGGGAAGCTCGAGAAGCTGTCGGCGGACACGCAGCAGGCGCGCCAGCAGCACCGGGGGCGGGGCGGGGACTGGACCGAGGCGGAGTTCGAGGCGCTGGTGCGGCCGGGGCTGGAGTCGGGGACGCTGCGGGAGCTGGACTTCCGGCCGCTGCCGGCGCGGGCGCTGCTGGAAGGGGGCGGCGACGGCGGGGCGCGCGCGGCGCTGGCCTGGTTCCGCGGCGCGAGCGTGACGCACCTGTCGCTGACGGGGTTCGCGCGCAACGGCTGCCACGCCGCGCCGCGCTTCGACGACGCCGTGCTCGCCCTGCTCGACCGCTTCCCCGCCGCCCGCCACCTCGACTTCGGCGACGAGCCCGTCTCCGACTCCCTCGTCGCCCGCCTCATCGCCCGCCGCGCCGTCGCCTCCGTCCACTACCGCTGCCGCCCCCTCAAGGCCGACCTCGCCGCCTGGGCCCGTAGGGCCCACGGCGCCGCCGTCGTCGACGCCAGGTCCGCCCCCAGGTACCACCCGCGCGCCTTTCCTCAGCTGCCGCTGTAGCGGGTTGGCGGTGGTGCCTTTTTTTCCCCTCTTTTTCGGGAAAGAAACCGACGACAGTCGATTTTGTTTGGCTGGCTTGGTCCAAGGGACCTTGGTTGTCGGCGTGCTGCGCCTTTCCTTTCTTTCTCCCTGCCATCCCGCCTTCCCAGAAGTCTGTTCGCCGCGAGATACCCCCTTTCCGCAGCGCGCTCTACACTGCCTCCCCTCCCCGCCCCCTCCCTGTCTAGTCTTTCTACGGACGGGCCTGCGTACCGGGACGAATAGTGGAGGAGATATAGCCTACCTGCCTAGCCCCTCCGGCACCGCTGGTCGAGGCTGGATGTTTCTAGCAATGCGTGCGTAGCACCCACTACGTGCGCGAATGCCACCGGGAGATCTGTCCTGGGTGGGTAGGTAGGTAGGTAGGTAGGTAGGTAGGTAGCCCTCCTCGGAGTTCGTTGCTTGCGCCCCGGGCCCGGAGAGAGCGGTAGGCCTTGGATCCGGGGGGGCCGGTTGACGTTGCGACGCCCGCGGGGGGCGGGGAACGGGGCAATAGCAGCGGGGCGAGGTTGCGCAGGTAAAGAAAGAAAGAACGCGGAGCGGCAGAGTAGAAGGAGAGAGAAGACTAGAGAGGCGCCTACGTGAAGGGAAACGAAGGAATAGAGGACGGACGAAGTAAAGGGAGCTGGCGAGACTCAGGCGAGTGCGACGAGCAAGTGAGCGAGCGAGCGAAGTATTACGGGGTCCCAAGCAAGCCAATCCCATCTGCTTTCCCCCTTTTCTAAAATGCCCCCATTCATCCGTTCACCACCACGTAGATATAGACAAGCAGGTTAGTTAGGCATTTATTCAATTCGTCGCGTCACCCAGGGTTAGGTCCCTGGGGGGTAGGTGGGGGTGGGTTATTATGAAACTCGTTACTCGTTAGCATCTCTACACGTACATAGCCGTCGCCGTTCTCCTTTCCCTCCCTTCTCTCCCTTCTCTTCCCGTTCCTCCTCGTCCCGGTTCCGTCCTCAGCTTTACGCCCCCCCACCTCTGCTCCCACGGGCCGCCATCTTCCTACCTGCCTGCTTTCTTTCGCTCCACTTACCCCCCCCCCCCCCTCCTTTCTCCGTTTCTTCTTGCTCGCGAGTCGGCTCTTCCGCGAGGCCGGCGAGAGAGGCCTTATGGGGCGGAGGGGGAGAGGGAGGCGATGAGACGGTGCTAGTTCCCACTTCGCCGACGAAGCTTGTATAGGGTGTTCGGCGGCGGAGCAGAACAGAGCAGAGTGCAGCATGGTTTGCTGTTGCGTTGGGCAGGTCGGGTTGGGCCAACTGAGCGCGGGACGCTTTGCTTTCGCATCGCATCTCCTCCATCGCGGGACCGCCCTTCCTCTTTTCCCCTTCCTTTTCCATGTTCCCTCCCTCCTCTCCTCCCTTCATTCCCTTTCTTTCTTTCTTTCCATTTCGCTCCGCTTCATCTGCACCTCCTTTTCCACAACTCCCTCCCCTTTGGTGATCATCCGGGCTCTCTCTCGCCTTGGTAGCTAGCATCCGTCCACCCGCTCTCGCCTTGCTTTCGTCGACTTCGTAACGTGGTCATCGTGTTCCTCTTGTTCGTCTCCCCTTTCGGGTCCGTTTCGCTCACCCCCCTCCCCTACCCCGGTAAGCAAGCACACAATAGAAATCGTCCAGTTCGTCAACCCAAGCCGGCCAGCCTGTCCGCATGTCTGCCCCGCCCGAGGTACCTAAGGAGGTGATGTGTCTAAAGAGGTGATGTAGGGGAATGTGTGTGTTCATGGGAAAATATTCATTCGTATCGTCGTAAACGTGTCTGGATCAGTCTCTCTCTCTATGGTATAGCGCGTACAGCACATCGTGCTTGGCCTGCCTGCCGGCTCGCAAGCCAGCCATTGCCACCTCTACACCGCAGCAGCCGCCGGCGGTCGTAGTGGGCAGGTAGGCAGCATTGTAGTCCGTACGCCCTATCCATTCTGCGTAGGTGGTATGGTAGTGGTTCCTGTTATTGTCGACATAGGAAATGATAGAAAAAAAAAGACGAGACGAGGAAAAACAAGGCCAGCAGGCACACGACCTGTCGTCGTAGCAGAGGAGGCACCAGCTAGCAGGCTAGCCGCAGTTAACCCCCCGGCGTGTTCCCCTGTATCAACGTCTCAAGCTCCCACGGACTTAGCGTACTGCGTCGCCGCGACGCCACCTTGCTCGTGCGGTCGCGCTTGCGCTTCGGGACCTTGATCTCCCCGACCCCGTCGTTCCCCTCGTCCCCTTCTCGGCTCCCGAGGTCGCCATTGTGGGCGCGGAGGGTCTCACCTTGCGCCTCCTCCCTCCGCTCCCTCCTGAGCCTCCGCGGCGGCGGGTCTTTCTCACTCACCGACCCCGCTAGTAGCTCGTCCGGGGACCCGTCGGCCTCTGCGGCGGGGCCGGTGCTGTGCACGCTGCCGCCTGTGTCACGCCTCCGTGGGACTTCCTCCCCTGTCTTCCGACGGCGTCCGCAGCGCGTTCGGCGTATCGGGGGGCTCTGTTGTATTTGCTGCTGCGGCGGGTCCCTATCCCTCTTGACCGGGTCCGTCGTCGACTTCCTCCGGCGGTCTTCTTGGGGGGGCAGTTGGTGTTCTTCTTCGAGCGGTCTTATGCTGCCGCCTATCGTGCTGAAGATGGCCGGTGAAGACGGCAGCGAGGGCATCTTAGAGCTGGCGGTTGTGGGGGAGGCGGCAGGAGCGGTAGTGGCGGTGGTGGATGTGATAATGGGCGCGGGCGCCAGACGCCGGCCGCTACGCAGGGCTCTAAGCTTAGCACGCACCCTCGCTGCGTCTGCTTCCCGCTCTGAGGCCGCGAGCTTAGCGGCAATAGTGGCCATGGTCAGGGGGCTCTGCTGGGGCTGCGGAAGGGCGCTGCCATTAGATGCGCCGTTATTAGTAGTGTTGTTGGTATTGCTGGTCCCACTGATGGTGTTGGGGCGCGGCAGACGCGACGAGGTCGACGTCGGGTTGGCAGAGGAGGCTGATGTGGTAGTTGCAGCATTACCATTGCCTGCGTTAGAACCATTGACGGCTGCTGTCGCCGTTGCCGGTGCCGTGGTGGCAGGAGCAGCAGCAGCAGCGGTAGTAGTGGTGGTGCTCGAGGTCTGAGCGGGACGTTTCGCTGAGCGGGGACGTGATTGCGCCGGCTGCTGCGGATGTGCTGTGTTTGTCGTCGTGACGACGTTGATCAGCTGTCGCGAAGAGGACGAGACGGACGGCGCGGGCTGCGACTGAGAAGCAGCGGGAGCCTGGCAGCGAGACGTGGACGAGCGCTGAGGGCGTGTTGGCGTGTTCACGGGATCGGAATTCGTCCTCTTAATCTCGACGGACGCGGGATCCGGAGACGCCTTTGATGACGACGTCGTCATTCCCCTGGGTCGGGAGGTGGGGGTGCGGGCAGTAGGGGTGCGAGTTGCAGCGGTCTGCGTGCCCGTGTTCTCCGGCTCGGGCGTTTCGGCCTTGCCCTGGGCTTGTCTCCCAAGGCTCGTCGTGGGCTTCGAGAAGAGCTTCTGCGTCGATTGCGAGGGTCTCTCACCCGACTTCCCGAATAGGGGACTGTCATACGAAGTATTCGAGCTGGGTCGGGGTTCCTGCCACGTCGGCGAGCGCTTCGGCCCAGTCGCGGCCGCGGATGTTGCTGATTTCTTCGGTTGCTGCCGCGGGGACAGCTGGGGCTTGATAACGTGAGGAGGCGGGGTGGGTGCCTGTCTCTCCTGCTCCTCGGCCCGGGCCGCGGCTAGGTGCCGGGTGTTCTCCTCGGTGATAGTCGAGAAATCTCCAGGTCGCTTCTGGTATGTCTGATCGTTGCCGGATGATCCCCTGTTCCCCGACGAGTACGAATCTTTGAGCGGACTAAGCTGTGGCGGCACTGGGAGGGGCGGGGAGTCAACCGATGTCATCGTCGATTCCTGGAGCACCTGGACGTTGGGCTCCTCGGCGTCTAGCTCCTCCATGTCTATCTCTTCGTCGTCCTCGAAGATGCTGCTAGAATCCGAGTCCGAGTTCTCTCCATTCTCGCCCCCGTAACCGGGAGCCGGAACGAGGTGTAGCGATTCAGCCGAGACCGGAGACCGGAGACGCGGAGACTCTTTGGGTACCTGCAAGCGGAGCCGTGCCTCTGCTTCCGCTTCAGCCGCGAGATCTTCTTCCTCCTCGTACTCGCGGTCTTCTTCTTCAACCTTGAATTGCTCATCTTCGTCCTCCTCATGCACGCAGGAGAGTCTCGTCGAGATAGGGATCACGTCGGCGGTCTCCTCAACATCTCGGACGCGGACGGGGCTCAGCCGCAGACCCATGCGCAAATCTTCCATGTCGACCGACCTACCGCTCGACACCATGCGCTTGCGCCAGCCATCGATCATGTGCACGGCGTCCTTCCAGCGGGATTCCATCGTCTCGAGGCCCATGCGCAGGCGATTGATCGCTTCCTCGCGCACCTCAACCTCCTCGATCGGCACGAACGAGGGGTTCGTCAGTATCGTCCGGAGGTGCTCCATGATGGCCTCGAGCTCTGTCGCCAATTCCTCGCCACTCCTCTGTGGTGGTACGAATACGACTTCCATGTTGTCGACGTCTTGGCGGCGACTGTGGTGTTGGCTACTGCTACCGTTCTTATCCGGTCCGCTCTTGTCGAGGCCGCTCATATCGCGCAGTCCGTCGATCGTGCGCTGGAGGATGGCGAGCAGGCTCTCGTTCTCCTCGCTCAGCCCCCTAGCTAGTTCGGTGAGGAAGGCGTTGGTCTCGAGCCGCAAGCTGTATCCCTCAACCTCGGTAGCCCCGGCAGGCGGGCCACCGCCGTCACCGCCGACATCGCCCGTGACGTTGATATAAACCATGTTGGAGTTCCGCGTGCCTCCGCGTACTCGGCTCGCATCCGCGACGGCCTTCTTCAGCCCGTCGATCTGGCGGTCGCGCTTGCGGATCTCGGTGGCGCACGCGGCGCGGGCTTGTGCTGCCAACGCCTTGGCGCGAGCGGCCTCTTCTCGCAGTTTGTGCGCGCCCTGCTCGGCGGCTCGCAGCTGGGCCCGCAGAGCGCGCTCCGTCGCCTCAGCACCGTCGAGGCGCCGCTGTGCGTCGTCGAGCTTCTCTGCCTGCCGCGCAAGCTCGGTCGTCTGGCGCTGCGATTCGGTTCGCAGCGTGCGGAGGGTCGTGGACACGGACTCGCGGTGCTCGGCGTCGCGCTGTTTGGTTTTTCGCTCAAGTTAGCCTGCGGTTCTTCCCCCCCCCTTTCCTAGTATGTGATGCGGTGCTCCGGCCGGCAGAGGAGACGTAGGATGGCATGTGTGTAGACAAGAGATATGGGAGGGGGTGGGGGGCAGTTTTCATTTCACCTACGTCTCTCCTCAGGATGAGGTCGTTGATGACGCTCATGGCCTTGCCCATGGTGGTCTGCAGCCCTCCATCGCTGTTGGCCGGATCGGCGAAGTCGATGTTGCGGCCATCGCGCAGCAGACCGCGCGACAGCAGCTGGTTGTTGATATACAGCGATGCCGTACGCAGGTTCTCCAATTCGACCATCTTGGCCTCTCTCGTCTCGATCTTGTTCTCGTCACGTTTCGTCCCGTCGTGGATATGGTGGATGGATAAATCACCGCCGCAGCACCCGTCTGCACCACCGCCGCGGGATGCTGCAGCAGGGTGAACGAATTGCTACTCTCGCCTGCCGGCCTGCCGTCTCTCTCTCTCTCTCTCTCTCTCGTTTGCTCTCCGCGGGGATTCCACCCCTGGCTGCAGCCGAATGGCCTGGGTGCGAGGTGATGGAGCGGTCGCGCGTTCAAGCGACCTCGGTGCTCCGGACGTGGGGCTGCGAAGCTTCAGAGAGCATAGAGAATAGCCCCTCTGCGGTACGCGAAGATGTTCTTCCCCATGTAGGTATTGGATGTATTATATGTATTGCTGTCGGTCGCAGCAGCGGGCGACGAGGGCAGCCCGTCGGATTAGGGATATCGTGGCGTCGCGGGATGTGGGTGTATTAGCTGGAAGACGGATTGGGGGTTGGGAGTGGGAAAAGGGAAGGGGAAAAAGGCAGGGCGTGGCAGAAAAGGGCAACGGAACGAGAGAATTGGGACGGAAAATCGGAGTTGGGACTTGTTGTTTTCTTTTTTTGGTCTTCTTGTCTTTCTTTCTTTACTTTTTCCCTTGTCAACCGTTGCTATGCGGGGTCCAAGTAAACAAAGCTACCCCAACACACCGACAGCACACACCGACATGGATCATCGACGTTTTCAACACCGAGGTCGCTGTCGATTGGGCAAACCGCAGGCGGGGGGGACGTCGAAGGGTTGCAACGAGAGAGCAATTCGAGCCTTTTGGGAATCTAGGGGCAGCCGTTCCGGGCCAGTCTCGAGCCATTTTGTATACCTCTGCCAGGGCAATTCAGGGGCGGGAAGACGCCGAGGGATTGGCGATACCACCAACGCTCGCCCCACGCAATCACATCGATTCGCCTACTGCATCCATGGTACTTTTCACGTGGACGCTTCTCATTTGCAGCCGCCGCTACACCGCCGTCTGGTCTTGGGTTCCTAGCCGCGCCTCATGTACCCCGTACGGTTCGCAAATCCTCGCTTCTGTAAGCCTCTTTGCATCTGGTCACCATAGCCACCATGTCACCACCATGTCACCATGTCTCTCCCACCTGTCCGCCCCTGTACGAGTGCTCCGTTTGTGTGGTTGGCGTCCAGGGAAGAGAGGGAACTCCGTCAACAAACCTCCCCCCTCCCCGCCCATTGACGCCATGCCTGTGCCTACATACGTCCATAGCTCATACGTACATGGTCTTACACGAGCTACATGATCCATATGCGCCAGTACAGATGCGTAATACCACATACCACAGACCACCCACCAGCCGTTGCGCACACCCCTTCCCGCCGCTGGCCCATCCAAGGGCAACACGCCTTCGAGCAAGCTTTTGTGCCTCTACGCCTCCCTCCCAACCGTCCTACGCACTAGCCGAGCCTCTAGGAACCGAACCGAAACTGCCTACCCTCTTGTGCATGAAGGCCCGTTCCTTGCACGCCTTCACGCATGCATGTGTTTGTATGTATGCACGTATATACGGATGAATGCCTGCGCGCGTGAGCTTTGAGCGACAGAATGGGTGGGAAGCGAGCGCGCTGCCTAATCCCGGGAGCTAACTTGGTCGATCCCCGACCTCGACCCCCCCTTTTTGAACATCCCATTCCTCGTGTTGCTAGCCAACCTACCAGCCGCGCCATTATCTACTTACCAGCCAGCAGCTCCCTCCCGTAAAATTGTCTCCCTACGAGCTGCAACGCCGTCCGAATGCAATTCCCCCCCCCCCCGCACCGCCTTTCAGTTGACAGTCTCTCCTCCTACGATTCCTGGGAACCCTCTGGCGTTTCGACACCGCCGCGGATGCGCCGGCGGGCTTCTGCCTTGTCTGCGTCTGTCACATCTCTCTCGTCCTTGCGCATGTCCGGCGTAAATTGTGACGCCTGCGGCGAATGGCCCACCGACATACCCGCCCGGATCTGTACGATTCGTTAGGTTTTTTTTTTCTCTTGTGCAGCGAGAACCCCCGATGGGTGGAAAGACAGGATCGTCATTCTCAAATCTTACCAATGTCTCCAAAGCACCGCTCGAATTTTCCACGAGATCGGCATCGAACACCATTGTGCCTGGCTCGAATAGCGTCACGATCGTACTGCCGCCGAATTGGAAATACCCGAGCTCCTCGGCGCGTTTAACCTGGTCCCCTTCGTTTCGAGTAATCACCGTGCTGCCGACCATCATGGCGCCGACACAGATCACCATCACCCGGCCGAAGAGCTCGGTGTCGATCGGACAGACGACTCGCACATTTTCGCCGTAGACGTCCAGCGCTGACCGGATTGCCATAGGGTTGACGGTATAGTACTCACCGGCGATGGTCTTGGGCTTGCGCAGTATGCCGTCCACCGGAATGTGGAATCGATGGTAATCCTGGGGGGCTAACCGGAAGATACCCAACGCGCCGTTCTCGTAGCGCTTGGCGTCGTCGGGATAGGCGTCGCCCAGCAGTCGCTTAACGGAGAATTCGCGGCCCTTGACCCATATACTGGTGGCTGAATCGATCGTATTGAAGACGACAGACCGGCAGTCCGCGGGGGAAACGACGATCTGAGGATTGGTGGGCGCCGAACAGGGCCGAGAACCCGGCTTGAGCGCCCGATAAAAGAACTCGTTGAAATTCCTGAATTCCTCGAGGGGGAGCAGCACTTCGGACATATCGAGCTGGTGGAATTCGATGAAGGGCTCGATCTGGGACTTCGACGCGGGGTCGTCGTACTTCTTGCCCTGTTTGATGCTGAGGCTCTTGAGAAGCTTGCGGACTGCCTGCGCGTTAGTCGAGGCCACCTCTACTAAGGAGGGACTAAAAGGGGGGAATGCGTGCTTACTCCTCTTGTTCTCCATGTCTTTAGACTTTAAGCCCTTGTAGAGTAGCCGGATTCCCAGTCGCACGTAGACGCTCATTTTCTCCTCGTTAATCTGGCCCGTCAGGCGATCCTGGACGAGGATGTTGGCCGAATTGGCACCAAGCTTGTAGCCGCCGTAGGAAATCTTGGTGACGACCTTCGAATACCACTTCCTCTGCGCTTGACTGGCCGTGACAAACCCGCCCATCATGAGCGAATTGACTTGGCGCCAGTCTTGGCTGGCGCAGGTAGCGATGTGGGTGATAATGTCGGCATCCTTCCGCTTATTGAGCCGCGGTTGGTGGCAGATGGGACACTCGCGAATCTCCACTACGTGCTCTTCGCTCCGGTCGATGTTGAGATCGTCCTTGCCCAAAATTTCGCCCTCCTCCCCGGGAGCGTTTAGATCAGGCACGATGATGGTTGAAGTTTCCGATTGTTTCCCTTGAACGCTCGAATCCTCCGGAGCCAGTACGAAGGAGCTGGCTTCCGAAGACTCAACGCTGCTACTCTGGCCGGAGACGTTCAGCATGTTCTTGGCTTTCTCCACGTCCGGAAGCACGCTCTTCAGCTTATCGACCACTGGAGCCGATTTGCTCTTGGCGTCCAACTGATCCTCGAGGCAGATGACAGCCTCGTCCATGGTCAGCTCCTGTTCGCCGCTCGCCGCCTTGTGCGGAAATCTCTGGAAGAAACTGTCGATGGTGGACTCGCGTAGCGTAGAGCCCAGCGTATCGAGCATCGTGGTGAGCTCGATCTTGCTGATCTCGTGGTTCTCATCGGCGTCGTACTGTCTCAGCATCGCCCGCCAGAACTGCTGCCTCAGGGCCGTATACGGCATGTATTTGGCGCGGATCGTCAGAACTGGGCTGTGCTTGGCCTCCCACTTTTCCAGGTTCTTCATCTTTAACGGGATCGTGAAAATGGTGAAGTCGGCATCGTCGAATTCGCTGCCGTCGCCGTTGCCGTTGTTGCCGCCATTATTGGGAGTCGGCGCCTGGTCGGGTTGCAGAAGCGACGGGTTCGGAGATGCGGAACGGGCCTTGGAGTCGCCCTGTCCTTCAGCCGGCAGCGATGTCGAGGGGGTACTGGAGTGCTTGGGCCCCGTCAGCCGACCCTTCCCCAGGCTTTGCGTCGAAGGCGACCTCGACAAACCCAGCCTCGCGAGTCGCGATTTCTGCACCGGCACGTACTCGGCTGGCTCTTTCAGGTCGTACAACCCGGTCTCGGGATTAGCCTTGGGGCTCCTGTCGATCAGCTCCTGGACGGGGAAGGAGGTGGAGGCGATAAAGTCGTTTCCTGAATATTTGTCGCGGTCGATGACGGTGAAGGCAAAGGAGTAGGTCTGCTCGCGGCTGAGGACGTGGAAGAGCATCTTCTCGTTGAAGACGGGGTTGAGATTGTGTCGGACGACCCGCGTGCGGTAGGTCTTCTTACCTAGAGAGGCGACGACGAACGGGTCCATGTCAAAGCTGGTCTTGGTAAAGTTCGACTCCGGCGGCAGATCGATGATACTGCAAATTTCGAGAAATATCAGGCCGACCACGTCACTACCGCCGTTGATAAACCGGTAAGGGTTTTGCCTCCTCTCGTGCCTCAGACCCTTGATCCTAAGTCTCCTTCTCCTCTTCTCCATCGCGTCGGGCTTGTTCGGGTCTTCGTCCTCGGGCGTCTCGTCCTCGTCAAGCATCTCGTCCTCCTCCTCCTCGTCATCCTGAGACGCGTCGGTGCCATTCCGGCTCAGCTGGGAAGAGGGCGTCGAGCTCGATTTGGGTGCCGAAGTTGGGCCAAGCATCGGGGTCATGTTCGGCGTAGGATTGCGGGATGCCGCTTCGGGTAGGGCTGCAGCCAGGGCTCGTAGCTTTGACAGGATCTGCGCGTCGGTCGCATTCTTGTTCGCGGAGTCGTACAAGGCGCATTGGAGCATAACCTCGCCCGAGACGCTGGAGGATTTCCTGCCGCCCTTCTTCTTCTTACTCTTGAGGGGGTACCATGTCGGCTCTTGCTCGGCCTTGTCGTTCGAGAAGATCTCTTCAAGGGCTAGATCAAATTCGCCGAGGTAGTCCTTGCCGAAGCGATCCTTATCCCAGCAGATACAATCGATCAGTAGATTGTCGACCCCAGTGATGGGAATGGAGCAGATGAGGTTCCATTCCGGATTCAGCGTCTTGGGCACACACTGGGTGACAAACTTGCTCTCGCCACAGCTCAGTTGGAGATACTAGGGGAGAGAGCTGTCAGCCATACACACCGGCACGAATATTTTCATGCAAGTACGGGTTTTCTGCTTCTAAATCTTTTTACACCGTATATTTTTCTTATCTGCCTCTCCTCATCATGTGGTAGATTGAGAAGGGGGAGGCAAAGACACGGTAGCGCCTTTTACTTACAGGATCGGATGTGCCGCCGCGGTCTTTGGCAGCCAAATCTCTTGCCTAGATGGATAACAGGTCAGAGTGAGCGGATTCGGCGATAGCTGCTAGATCAGATAGAGCAATAATTGGTTGGCCGGGTCTTACACGAAGCACAATGACCTTCAAGATCAAGGACGTGTCCTTACGCCCGTCGGCACTCGCCTCTCCCTTAGACGGCATGGGACTGCTGCTACGGCTGTTGCGGCCAGAGTTGTTGGTGGAAGAGGTGGCGTAGGGTTTTTTTAAGCGTTGAGGAATGATGCGGACCATTGCGGAAGCCGGAAACTTGAGGGGTAGCCGGGACTAGAGGGCGGGCGAAAACGCAAATAGGAAGGTCGAGGGACCAAAGGTCAGACGAATGTTGCTTGGGGCCCGTCTTGGAAATTCTTGGTGGCCCCTCTCCTCCCCTTCCCAGGCGGCGGGCGAGGCTCTCTCTCTCTCTCTCTCTCTCTCTCTCTCGTCTGTATTGGTCTCTCTCTTGGCTAGAGTTAGGCAATTGCTACGATGTCAAGAGGCAACTCTTCGAGTTTAGCTCAGGGCGGTAAAAACCTGCGGGTTGTGAAGATTGAGGGGGAGGGGTGTGAGGGGGACAAAGAGAGGAATTCGCTGGACGGGAAGGGTGGCAGAGGGCAAGGTAATAATAATGTGTATTTGAGCTCCCGATGGCATCGATGCCTTTGGTTTGCTGCTCGTCCAGGAGCGAGGAGAAGGATTTGAAGGACCAGCTCGAGTTCATTAATTGCCATCCATACGAAATGCGAGGCGAGAGGAGAGGTGGGAGGAATAAGTATGAGCAGGTAAGGTTAGATGCCGCTCGAAACGGGGAGGTAAGGAGATGGGCAATGTATTGAGTAGGCCGTGAAGGGGCGTGCGTGTAGGGGGTGTGTAGGGGAAGCGTAGGGATTGTTGGGGGGATACATGTAGGGGGGGGGGGGGGCTGTATGTATAGTGTTCGTTGCTGTCGTTAGGGTGGTAGGGAGGGGGTTAGACGAAGAAGCTGTCGCGGATCAGCCTTTCTTCTCTCTTTTTTTGGAGGGGCAGGTTTCTGTTGGGCAGGCAGTTTATGTACCTATACATGCCTCCTACGAGCAAAGGTCGATACCCTGGAGTAGGGGCTCTGTGTCGAGCTACCTCCGTGCCGGCGGCATTCAGCAATTACAAGCCAACAGTGGAATTGGAATAGACGGACGTGACGAGGGGGGCAATAATAATAAATAAATCATAACAATCCGTCGGGGGTGCTGACACCGCCTACACCCCGCCATGCCGCCTAGAGGCCAGGTTCCCCTGCTACGCGTACCGGAACCAGTACATGCGTACATGCCTACGTTAGGTGCATTCATTCCCCTCACCGGGTATTAGGTAGGTACCTTACCTGTATTGCCGGCGGTCATCTCTCCTCAGCGCCCAGATGCGACATGCGAAATGGACCAGCTCCGGCAACCCTGCAGAGACGAGCAGATATCTACCTAGCCTGAGTCAATTCGGCAGAGACGAAAGCTTGCCTCGACACATCGCTAGATCACCCAAGGCAGGGAACCCAAAGCACGATGCCGAGTTCTACCGCACCCGATGATTGAGACGGGCATCTAGGGGGTCCGTATAATACCGTGCATTTTGTTTCTTTTCACAAGGCCAGTCCAAGATCTAGGTACCTACGAAACAAACACGGTGGCCCTAAAATGCTAGAAGCTAATAGTTAGCTCATTTTGGGGGGGTGGCCGGGGGGGTAAGCTTATAGCTCATGCTGGCCATAAGGTAGGTATATCTCTGTCGGTTAGAAATATTCCCAACACCTCCGCGCCCTGCACATGGAGACCCCCCTCTCTTCTCTCTCCTGGAGATCCCCCTCAGTCCTAACCATTGACTATACCTAGGTATCTAGCTCGTCGCAGATAAGAGATAGGCATATTCCCGCTTGGTGAAGGGGTTTACCCCAACTCGCAAACGGGGCCAGTCTGAGGAAGATGCGACGGTGTATAGGTATGCCCGTTTAATGCCTTCGGCGGCCCGTCGCGATCCCCACATCGGGTCTCGGTATCCGACAAAAGCCAGCCAGCCAGCCAGCCAGCCAGCCAGCCCGCCCGCTCTGGAACACGAGAAGAAGAGCGCGTCCGGATGGGTGTGTGAGAGGAAGGGCTGAAAAACTGGCAAAACTAAAACGGACCGCGCGGGCGTGGTGTTATACATGAGATACGCATTCTCTACATCACTATCATTAGGACGCGTAATTGCAGCCCAGCATTACCTCACCTCTCACTGACCCTCGTACACACACCTGCTCCCTACCTCGCCAACCCTCCTCATCACCCAGGTTTGCGGCTTCGCAGGGCGGCCGTCCAGAAGCCGGGCCATTCCGACTGCCAGGGTCTCTCTACGGAGCTGCGCCGTCAGCCGGCATAGGGCTGTGTCCCGCGCCTATAGGCACGTAAGTATAGGTATGTCCACTACCTACCTAAGATAGTCTGGGTGCCGATCGGGGCCTTCAACCTATTCCAACGGCTTAAGATGCGAATATGGGTTCCTACGTCAGGGATCTGCCTCCCTGTCTAGGACCGGATTCGGAAACCCAGCGAGGTGTTTGGACGAATGGCACGTACTCGTAGGCCAGGGCGGCAAAGAAGAGGTGGTAGCTCTAGTCACGGCCAGACCCGGACGTCCACGCATGTAGGTACATAAATAGGCCGGTGCATACTGTCTACCTGGGTGCTTACAGGTAGGTGGGTGCGCCCCATGTCCCTGGGGTATTGCGAGGTGAGCGTGTGCAAAGCAGTCGATGTGACCCCAACGCCGGCAACGCGGCGAGGCTATCTACCTACCTACCATTTTTACCACCATACGACGTAGCAGCACCCAATGCTAACACGGCAGAAGAGAAGCGTATGGGAGCCTTTTTCCCATCGCGAGGATGCCGCATTTGCCGTGGGAGCAGCGCAGGGCGATGGGGGATGTAACTAAAAGAGGACGTTACCGACAGCTCCGGCCGCCTCCCGTGACTTACCGCACCGACCCTCCGGCCCTGCGACGCGCAATCCACCCATCACCCATCCACCTACACACTCCTTGGTACTCTCATGCTTCCTCTTTGTCTTTCTCTCGCTCTCTATCCACACGCACGCCTTCTCCACACGCACACCCTCGCCCGCCTACGAATTCGTACGCCGTGCTACCTGGAGCTGCCCTCACGCCAGCGCCTGCGCCTGCGCGTAAGCGAGAGGATGCACGGTGGGATTGACTAGGAACGCAGCAAGAAATAGCAAGAAAAGAATAGCAGACGGCCGAGGAATGCGGATAGCCACACGAACGCGAAGCCGATTACCCGTCCTGTGCAGGTGTGCGCCTCCAGTGCGTACACGCTCGTAGCGCATCGCCTCCGTCGACAACCACCGGTACGCCATGCCACACCACGCCACGCCACGCCAACCGCAATGAAACGCGAATCCGGCCAGACGTTTCAGCTCCCTTCCCTCTTCCCTCCTTCTCTCGTAGCATCCCCCCCCCCCGGCCAGACCTCAGCCCACGGGGGGTTCGGGAGTTGGACGGGGAGGGGAGGGGAGGGGAGGGGATTTCCAGCTGACTCGGCGGACCTGAAGTTCCACCTGTAACACGTAAGCAGGTAACGGTAATAGATAGATGCAGCGTATCCGCATGTCTGCCCGCATCTTGCCTTGCCTACCGATCTTGATGTCTGCGATAGGTATGCGACACCAGGTAATAGGGAGCGAAGGAGACGGGTGGGTAAGATGTAGATGGGAGGCAGGCAGGTAGGTATGCGTTGTCTTCGGGAAATCCCGTTTGGGCGGAGTTTGCACTTTTTCCCGCGGCCACCGATATCTCCCTCTCTCTTCCACGACGCCGCGGCCAACACACCCACTTACTCATCATCCACTCTTGCCCATTCTCTCGCCCTCTCCCATTCGCGTTCCTCTTCGCCCTCGCTTCTGCCCTCGCCCACTCTCCATTGGCCCACGACCGCCGCCGCAGGTACTCATGCGCTACAAACCCAGCGGGTACGCGAACCCGCTATCTCCCTACTGGTAGCAGCAGTCTGCGTGGTAGGCACGTCAGTCGACTTGCGATCCGTCGCGTCCGTGGGGGCGCGGAGGCATGGCCATGGCCCACCGCCTCAGGTCCCGGCAAGGCCCAAGTGGGTGACCTTTTTCTGGTGCGCGCGACGCCTTCGCTGGCTTTGCCCGGCCGTCGTCAACATCTCACACTGCCATTACGACAATGCACCACAACCACGCATCAGTCGCGCGTTCCCAGACCATCAGCCGCCCAGAGGAATCATCCACTGTCCTGTCCCAACCTAAGGAACCTAGCCCAGGCGGGGCGACGAGGCGCAGAAGGAGGGGGAGAGGAGGAGGCGGAGGGACGGGGTCGCGGTGGCGGCGGGCGCGCGCTGTGTTACTATCGCTTACAAGCCTACTCTCCCCCAAGAAGCGATAGGACCCCATAGGTGTGGAAGTCCAATCGGGCCAGAGAATCTCTCGGCGATGACGGATGCCGCGGAAGGAGGAGGCCCAGATAGGAGTAGGCCAGGCCAGGCCAGGCCAGATGGGTAGATGTGAGGAAGGGAAGTCGACCGACCAATCCGCCGTATCCGCTCTGGGTAGGTACCGAAGGCACCCGATGTGAGGCTATGTATATGGCCGAGGCGTGATGTGCGTGCGTGTCCTCTCGTGCCACTCCACACATACCAAGGGTTCCCAGCGGAGAGGATGTGTGGGAGTCACCGCTTACATCAGACGTGATGACACGCATGCACGCCGCTCGCGAGTCTCGGCTTCGGTCTCGCTAGACTAGCGCAGTGTGTAGAGATCGCTTATCTCCCTCCTCCTCCTCCTCCTCCTCCTCCTCCTCCTCCTCCTCCTCCTCCTCCTCGCTTCGTAGTCTAGGTGTACCATACGAGAGACCGGAGGGATAGATAGGTCGCCGATGCCACTCGGTCTCCGGGCCTATCGGCGGATAATTGGAAGTTAAATATGAGCTTAGTTTGGCGTCCGTTCTCGCAGGCACTTACGCCGTGCTTCACCACGACTCTCCCGTGGGGCGCGCAGAGAGGACGGATCAAACAATAATAACCTAGGGATGCAAAGGGGGTAAAAGGGGGTAACCTCTTCGTCATTCCCAGCATCTACCTAGGATAGTAGGATACAAATATACGTACAGTGAACCCACTGTCGAGATCAACCTACAGCATTCTTTGCCTCATACCTCCTAGTCGCATGAGATGGTAGATAGGCACGGAGTTAAGCGGTCAAAGTATCTAAGGGAGGTTTCAGAATCTCGATCGGCCTTGTGCTATCGAGCAAAAACGCCATCCTCCCGGCAGTGTCCACTGGCCTTTCCCACTGGCCCTTTCCCGTGTGCACGGTGCGTCGATCAGAAAGCCGCTGACGATTCTACGTCTTCACCTCTCGGCCAGTCACCTAGCCAGGTACTCTCTGCCAACCGCCTGCCGCGGGCCGCGAGACCGAGCCCCTGGGCGTGGCTCGCGGCATCTGCCGTGATCGCCGCAAAGATTCTATTCCTCGGTGTCGCCACCCAGGCCTGTGAGAGCAGGTTTTAGTCGATGGTATGAGATGTCGTAACTAGGGCACGTCGATCCGCACCCGATGCCCGCCGGGCCCAGGGCTGGTCCTGGCACCCCGAGAGCCGCCACCAGCCCTCGCGCCGCGATGTAGCATAATCGCTACGTAGACGATCGCGGGGAGCGACCCGCGTGACGCAATTGGTAGACACGGGAGAGATTGTTCCGCACGATGCCGGCGCGCGCGCTGGTCAGACGGCGGGCACTCCGATGTCCTAGCCCCCTTTGCCCCTGGCCGGCGATCAGCGCTCCGCGGCGCAGGCGTGCGCGTTAACCGGGGGCGGTCTGCGATCGATGCTGGCGAAAAACCTTTGGTCCCTGGTATGGCGACGACTTCTAGCCCCTCACACCTGAGGCCGTCTCCTCGCCCCCGCCTGCCCCCGAACTAGGCATATGGGGATGCTAGTTCTTTCCACCGTCGCGATGGAAGCCATACCCACACCATAAGATCCGAGCCCCCCATCGTCGGACTTGTGTGCTCGTACTCGTCCGCGGCATCGTACAAGCGACATGCTTGCCGCCCTCGCTCTGCCTGCGGTCGCCGAGACGAAGAATCCCGAGGGCGCTGCGGGACGGCGTGCGGAGAGGGGGGTGTAGACGCGAGTCTAGTGAGTAGCGAATAGAATGCAACGCGCGCACCTACCGGCCTACACGTAGGCGACATGAAGCAGGAGAGAGACTGCGGACGGCCCGGTACGTTCTGCGTGGCGGCGCGACTGCTAACGGGGCGTGCGGACATCTTAGAGAAAAAACCTGCCTAGTGGGTAGTCACGTACGGGAAATGAATACGCGATACAACGTCTACCCCCTAGCCTACGGGGGAATCCTCATGTTTGTATGTTAGAAGACACTGTGTAGCTGTCGGAGCCAGGTCTAGGGCAGTCATATGATTAGTCTGGCAGTTTCTCATTTCGTCGTCTAGTTCCATTCATCCCTTATCGACGGCCAACCCGCCGCCAGGCAGTAAGGCGCCCCTCCTTTTGTTTTGGGCTTTCCTTTGCTCGTGCAGATGTCGTGGTATAACAGCTAGGCCACCTAATTAACTAAAAGATTCTAAACGCCTCTCCCTTTTCCCTTTCTCTTTGCGTCCGTACGTGGTAAACTATAGAGAGAGAGGGAGAGAGACGAAGCCCTCGCGCGCTCAGTCTCCGAGTCTTCTTCCCGGCCTTCTGGCTCTGCGCGTTACGCCGCCGCCACCTTGGCGCTGTACTTGGCGGCTGCCTTGTCGAACAGATCGCTCTTCTCCTCGAGATCGACGAGGAGGGGGTGCTGGGGGGGGGATTTCTGGAGGGAGCTGGCGAGGCGGGAGCGGGAGCGCGGAGGAGCCCGCGATCGCGCGCGTGTTAGCGTTCCGTGGGATTCCATCGATCAAGAATCAGGGAGGTAGTTGTTCTTAAAAAAAAAAAAAAAAAGGATGCTGCGCACCTGGTGAGCTCACTGACGTCCTTGCCCACGACAGCGTGGAGTACGAGGAGGTTGGCGAGGGCGTCGGCGTTGTCGGGCTGCTTCTCGAGGGCCTGCTCGAGGGCCGCCTGGGCCTCCTCGACGCGGCCGAGGTGGAGCTCGCAGACGGCCTGGGAGACGAGTGAGAATACGGAGGACGTGGAGGGCGCCTGGGCGAGCTCCTCGAACACGTAGAAGGCCTGCTGGTACTTGTCGCCACCCTGCGCGTCACAGACGAAGAAGCGAGAGAACCGTGCGTTAGCCAGCGCGCACTCCTGCCGGCCGCGGGAGATCGAGGCACGGCCGCCGGGGTGTACGTACTAGTCGCAGGCCGACCCAGGACTCGGCCAGGTTGATCAGCGTGCTGTCCTGCGCCCAGCGCCGCGCCGCCGTCACTTCCTTGAGCGCCAGGTCTGTCCGGTTCTGCTGCAGGTGGATCTGCACGATGAGGGCGGTAGCGTCGACTAGGGCGAGAAGGGGAGCGCGCGTACGTTAGCATGCGTAGCTGAGGTCCCGGGGCAGAACTACTTGCTCCATCCGTCTATCGTCTTTCGGGAAGAACGGAAGGGAAGGGAGAAAAGACAAGGGGGAGGGCGGGGGGGTTGGGGGGTGTTTAGTCTATTAGATCGGGCCAGGTCAGGTAGACGTACGGCTGCCGGTATGCTGGGACAGCAAGACGAGGGCCTCATCGGATTTGCCGGCGGCCTGGAGGACGGTGCCAGCGAGGACCTGGACGGCCTCGATGGCGGCAGCGTCGGGAGAGGCGGCGAGGCGCTCGGCGACAGCGACAGCGGCGTCGGCGCGGCCCAGGCGCAGCTCGGCGAGGGCGGCGACAGCGGCCAGCTCGGGGGCGGACTCGCCCTGGACCTCGGCGAGTACCTCCTCAGCCTGCCCGAGGGCGATGCGCGCGCGGTGGGCTAGCACGCGCGCCGGCACCGCATTCGTGGCCGCCAGCGCCGACGCGTCGAAGTCTAACACCTCCTGATACTGGCCCTGGTGGAACTGGCTGTGGATGGTGACCAGCTCGCCTTCTGCCGAGTACGGGTCCATGGTTGCCGCCGTCTCAGGTGGGGAATGTAGTCGGCGGAAGCGAGCGTGGGATGTCGGCTGCGGCTCGTGGTCCTATGCGTATCCGGATATATGAGGGGGCGTGTTGTCGGGCGTAGGGGGACCTGGAGGAATCGGGCGTGGTTGTAGGTTGTACAGATTCAGGGACAGGACAGCGATGTAGCTCGCCAAGATGCAGTTGAAAGCACCCCTACTCGTCAGCATATGTCAATGTATGCAAGATGCTGCCAGCTGGCAACCGCTGTGTGGAGATCGGCGTTCGCAACGACCGACGGCGGGTATATGTGCACCTATATACCTAGGTACTTTTCCCCGCGTATTGATGAGCTACAGTAGCTTAGCTAAGCGTCTCGGGTACTCAGTGTTGCCATGTTTTCAGTCCTGATGTAGGTATTATTTCAACTACCTAGCACTTCTCCCTCCCCCTTTATTCTAGGTATCTCTCGCGTATTCCAGCTCCTCCGTCGACTAATAATTATATATATATACTTAATCGGGGTATCCTAAGAATCCTATAAAATACGTCGAAGCGCTCCGCGCTTCTCTAGGTTTTCGTGCCGAAAACCTAGAACCTCTCCGAAGGCTAGGGAAAAAGGGGTAAGTAGGAATCGACGCTTGATTGAACTGCGAAAAGGGATTGATTAGTAATCGATTCTTGATTGAACGGGGAGAAATTAACCTGGATTGAACGGGGAGAAACTAACCTCGATTAAAAAGGATTGAAATAGGTAGGAAATAGGATTAAACGCGTAGGTAAATAGATGGACGCGTATGCTGCGGTTTTATTAGATGCATCCCTTTTAAGCGGGTCATATGAACTTTTAACCAATTAAAACGGCGTATACGAACTTTCAGCCAATAAAAACAGAGTTTCCCCTAAATGACACCCCTTTACAGGGGTATTTACAGGGGTATTTATAGGGGTATTTATAGGGGTATTTAACCCCGCAATTAATCAGCATGATAGGGGGTTATGCGTATTATAACTATCCTCCGGATAGGATAATGTACCGGTTAAGGGGACGTTAATATTAATATTAACATAGTCTTATCGTCCGCCGATAGGTTCCGAACTCGGCTCTAAACTCGTAGTAGGAATACAGAATAGAATAAGGGCTAAAATAGTAATAATAAAAAAAGATAAAAAAATAAGGAAGCGTACCCTAGTAATATACGCGGGTATAGACGGCCTCTTTATCCTTAGTAATGCTTAGTTCTAACATGACCTCGTATATACTAATAGAACGCCGTCGTTCCGCGTCCTTTATACGGCGGATATTAGCGAGGTACGCTTCTTGCTACGCTTTTATTACGCGCTTAATTTCGTTAAGGTTAGCTATACGGGTTACGAGGTAAGTAGTGTAGTGGTGCGGTGGATCTAGGCCACGTAGCCTTTTCGATGTATATTGAGGAGGAGCAGAGCGTACGCGATGCTAGAGACCCGGATATGTTTACTCGAAAGTGCATTTTATCGAAGACTATAGTACGTACGATAATATAAGATAAATGAAACTAATATCGCTATATTAATCGAGAGATAAGGAATTTAATATAGTTATCGTATCTTAGCTATGCCCCTTAGTCGTAGAGATGTAATAGTCGCTAGCCCGAAGGCATAAGAGGTAAGGGAAGAAAAGAGATAAAACGTAAAAGTCATTTATTCGGCTATAGCGGTACGACGAAGTAACTTAAGCGCCTATAATTAAAATAGATATATTAATCGGAAAACGATAAATCTAATAATGAAAACGAATCTTTAATTAAGGTAAAAATAATAAATATAATAATCTAACTAAGTAATAAATTAAATAATAAATATGGCATATCCCGTACTTACGGGAGCTATGGTTACTTTATATAGGTATAAGGCCTATTGTAGCGTATTACGTAATATATTAAGAAAGTATATCTTACCGTATTATTATAGCCTTCTTAGTTTAATTATACCGTAAGGAATAATTAAATTAAAAAGCATAGTACGGTATGTCCCGATTAATATCTCCCCTTAAAAACTACCGCGAAACTTCATTCTACCGGCTATTATTTAACTATTAAGGGCGGGCCTTTAGCTTATCGTTTAATATAATAACGGAGCCCCTTTATTACTTTACGGCTAACTTAGCCCGGTTTACCCTTACCGATTTAACCCGATCGGCGTATTTCTTCTTTACTTCGGCTACTTTCTTCTTAATCTCGGCCTAGCCCTCCTAGTTAAAGGAATAGTAAGGTAACGGCCGCGTCCCGAGGGTTAATTAGGTATTTTCCTTTTACTTATAAGGTATAGAGGTCTCCCTTAATTAAAAAGCTTTAATCCTTACTAGGCCGGAGGAAGGAAGAGGGCGGGTCGTAACCTTAACGAGGTCGTCGTAGCGAAGGTTTACGTCCGTTAATATAAGGAAGTAAGAGGGATTAAGTATTAAGGCTACGGAAAAACGGCGGACTTCGGCTTACGCGATAAACCGAATAGAGGATTTACGGTTAAGGGGCTTACCGATCGGCGTATTTTAAGCGGACGTTATAGCGTTAATAAAGTTAATTCGCTTTTAATAATTTACGGCTTACCGAAGACGTTTAACGATACTAACCCTTCCCTTTAAAACCCGAACGCTATAAAATTACTCTACTACCTCGGCGTATTCTCTTATAGTATTAAAGGGGTTAAGTTTTTTGATGGTTGATTGACACATGCTGGCATACAGCATATGTACACATGTACCTACGTCTATAAGTAGATAACTTTTCGTAAGGCTACCTTAAGAAAGGAACCTCCCTTCCTTAGACATTATAATATATATCGTTTTACCTTATTATTTCTTACTTATCTTCGTCTATTTCGTTTTTTACTTACGTACTGTAGTGGTGCGGTGGATCTAGGCCACGTAGCCTTTTCGATGTGTATTTATATGTGTCGCGCACTCATATTTTCATTAGTTAGACTTAGACCTGTAGACATCACAGCCTATAGCCATTCACTCGTTTCTTGCCATGCCTTTCTAGCCATCCTCTTTCTTGCCCTTTTTTTTCTAGTCTTCCTTTCCCAGCTGCCGTTTTTAGCTAGCCGATCAACCGATTACAGCTATTTATAGCTATAATCTTAGGTTGATCGGCACTGGGCTAGTTGTTAGTAGTTGGGTAGTCCTTATTTCGTGCCTCCGTTAGCGTACCTACGCTATTCCTGTTTAGTGGCGACTACCTAGTAGCTCGTCCTTACCTTAGCCTTAGGAGCGACCTTTTAATCGACCGTTTTATAGTTAATAGGTTTAGGATACGTCGATTAGGAGATTCCCTGTTTTTTAGTTAATCAGGAGCTATTTTCGTGGCTTTCGGATTAAGCCTTTTTCAGGTTAGGATTAATAGGGAGGGCAGACAACTATGGCGACCATTAATAACCACGCCCTCCTATTAGCTTTTGATTAGCTTACCTGAAAGTTCGTTCGCCGATTAGTAGGATCTATCCTATCCTCGTTTCTTAGTTGTCTCTTTTGAAGGAGCTATACCCGTTTTTACTTGGTTTTACCTCCGTCGTTTTTTACTAGTACCTAGATAGCAGTTTTTCGCCCTTAGTTAATCTAACTCCGTTACCGCTACTACCCCTTTTTATAACCTCGTACGCGCTTAAAGGCATCCGTTCTTTACCGATTAGTTTATTTTAATTACAAGAGGCTTACCGATAGCTCCGATCGCCTTTGTTTTTTCCCTACTAGCTAGTTACGGTACCTAGGGAGGTTTCTCCCTAACCGATAGGTATTACGATGCCCTTAATTGCCACACGAAGATACCGACAGACCTTATACCCACGAACCTAATCGGGGAACCTACCGATTAGCGCGAAAGACCTATATAAACGATACCGCGATATACGAATTAAATAGGATATTAAATAAGAAAGCCTAAAAATAGCTATAGGAAAGAAACGAGTTATAGGTTATGCCCGGAGATCCCTCTTGTCGCCCTTACCGATATATGGTTGGTAGGAAGAGCCTAGAGAGCCCTTAGAACTACGTATAGGGGAGGGATCGAGGGTCAAGGGAAGCCCGGTAGATGCTACCGGACGAATATAGGAACGGTTAAACGAGTTATAGTCGGGCATTAAACAGGATATATCAGTTAGTTTATAGGATTAGGAATTAGTTAAAAAGGATCGGTAAAAGACAGCCATAGACGAGAAGGACGGAGATTACGTTATATCGTATGGGATTGTTTCTTTATTTCTCACGGGAGCTACGTTTGTTTTACCTGCCCGTTGTAGTTCCTGTTTTCCTGACTGATCCCTGTTATTTCTTAATGGCCCTAATGAACCTGGCTCGCTCCTAGTTAATTAGGGTTAATTAGGAATAGGTTAATTAGGTTAGTTTATAGGTTATAGCTCCGCTAGCCCGGTTATTCTTATTGATTGATTTATCCTATTGTTTCCTATTAATCGTTAATTAAACTAGCTTAGCTCTTAATTGGTAGCGATTGAATAGGTTCGGGATTAATTAGGTTTAGGATTAGGTATAGTTAGGTACGGTTACAGTTAGTTACCTACCCTACCACCTACTTATTACTGTTACAATCGTTCCTAGTTAAAGACCTATTTCTTCCTAACTTATCCTATTAGCCTTTAATTAAACTAGCTAGCTTTTAGTTAATTAGGGTTAATCGGGATTAGGTTGATTAGGATTAATAGGAAACGAGAGCCACCGTACCTATTATATTAGGAGTTTAATTACTCCTTGCGGATTAATTGAACTAGAGAGGCTATAGTAGTGCGGTGGATCTAGGCCACGTAGCCTTTTCGATATATATTTATATGGGTCGCGTACTTATATTTTCATTAGTTAGACTTAGACCTATAGACATTACAGCCTATAGCCATTTACTTGTTTCTTGCCATGCCTTTCTAGCTATCCTCTCTTGCCCCTTTTCCACTTCCCTTTCCTAGCTGCCGTTTTTAGCTGGCCGATTAACCGATTACAGCTATTTATAGCTGTGATCTTAGTTGATCGGCACTGGGCCAGTTGTTAGTAGTTAGGTAGTCCTTATTTCGTGCCTCCGTCAGCGTGCCTACGCTGCTCCTGTTCAGTACGTACCTACT